CTTTTTTGAACAATCATATATCTTAAATAGCCAAAGTTGTAAAAATAAATTTATATTAATGAATATAATTACATAATTCCACCATGAGATCATTTTTGGTATCATGCTTGTCCCAAGCCAGAATAAAGGAGGAGGGTGTTGTGATAGGCGCATGATAGCCAACAGTATCACTTAGTAGCAACACATGACATGAATCGAAATATAAATATGTTGTAATGAATATAATTACATAATTTCATTTTTTGTCATTACCACTAATGCCTTTGTCACTTGGCACTATAACAATCATATGCTATGCCAAATATTTTGAACTTCAGATGCTATTGTTTACCTCACATGACTTTACACATACTCAGTTGTCGGGATGAACATCTCATCCGAAAAAAATTAGTAGGAATTAAAATGGGTGATTGGCATAATGTAAGATATTTTCTCCATCTACAGGTTTTTGCTGACATGGAAGAACTCAATGTCCGGCCAACCGTTAGCATTGTCAAAATGGTGGGAGATGTATTTGAAAAGTTGAATATGTTGGACAAGTATAGAAAGTTGAAGAAAAAATACCCTCCACAAAAGTGGAAATATCGCTATATTAGGGGGAAAAGGATCAAAATAAGAGTAAAGGACACTAGTAACTATGGCAACCCTGAGGCAAAGGAATCTGATACTGAAGGTTATTCTGAGTTGGATGAGAAGTTGGATGAAAACACAGAGGTTTGTGTAGATATGTTGGATGAAGTTGATCTGAATCAGCTTGATCAAGTTACACATTCTTCAGTGCCTTCACAGTGAGGGTTTTCAGTTTGTGATCTGATGAGGACAATATAATGGAAATCGGTTAATGGAACCCTAGAATCTGATCTCATTCTTGAGCTCCACGTGTGGTTGGTTTTCTTTTGGCAAAATTCTAACTGTTAATTTTCACGAAGATAGTCTTGCCTGGCATGCAACAAATGGGAGAAGATGGTTTTGCATCAAATAGACTGTATGAGTATCACTAGCGCTGGCCCTTTGTCCCTATAGTATGTCATTCTCAATCCTTAAAGGCTTAAACCTGGCCCTTGGTCCTTCAACCTTCCCTCAACCGACATCAACTTTCACAAATTTGACACATTCAAGTTGTTTGTGCTTCTTCTTTAATGCATTGGAAGAAATACCAATTGTGTGTATGTAGATATAGATGTATGTGTGATGTTATAAACACTAGTCGGTGGCGGATTGCATATGAAGGGGTGGAACTGGGCGGGTAATTCACCCGGACTGGAATCGCTCTAATTGGGATCGGAAATACGTTGTGCATTAGATGTCCTTAATATCTGCTCGCGTACATGCTTGCGATTCTCTCAAATTGGAATGTGTATTAAAAATCAAAATGCTGTTTTTTACTATGTTGTAAGAACCGGACCGGAGGGTGATCCGGATAAAGGGGTGTTTGGATCTGATTCTTAAAACTGCTTCTTTGAAGGAGCAGAAGCAAAAGTTGCAGTGTTTGTTGCAGTGTTTGGGTGAAAGTGTAGAAGTAGTCATGGACCCGGGTCAGGCCCGGTCGGGCCTCGGGTTTATTGGAGGAGGCCCGGGACCGGCCCGGGTAGCCACCGGGTCCGGGCCGGGCCCTTGGTCATTTTTTTCCTTTTCCTAATTAACCCCCCCCCCTCACTCCCAACCCGCAAACCACCCCAAATGGCCCAAAATACCCAGCCCAACCCGAAAAGATAAAAAAAAATGAAAAAAAAAAATAAAAAGCCCGGAACCGGGCCCGATCCGGCTGGGCCGGTTCGGCTTTTGGGTGACCCGAGCCCACACCGGGAACCCCCGGGCTGGGCCTACCCAGACCGGTCACTAGCCGGGCCACTGGCCCGGGCCGGTTCAACACAGTACTGGTCCCGGGCCGGTTCCGGGTCGGGCCACCCGGCCCGAATCCAATACTATGCAGAAGTGATTCTGATGCTCTAATTTACTCCTAGAATCAGTTTGTTTAGAAGCTGGGGAAGACCAGCTTCTGAAAACCGATTCTGATTCTGCTTCTGCTTTAAAAAAGAAGCAGAAGCAGAATCAATTCCAAACACCCCCAAATTATTGTGTCACGGGTCAACCCGGACCCGGCGGGTTAACCCGGTATACCCGGTCAACACGAACACACATATTTATATACTCCATATAAAATTAAATTCATGAATAAAAAACTTATATCCCTTAATTTAATATTGGGAATCAAATATATTAATGTCTAAAAAACTATATTTTATTAAAGTATATTAGTTTTAACAAAATTTAAAATGCATTTGTGTATAAAATGGATGATAAATAATTTAAATATGAACATAATACCAATTACAAAATAAGAAAAAATAAAAAAAATAAAGATGGCACACCTAATGCGGATTGAGGAAGTATAAATAGCATTGGTTTGTATCTATTACATAGTATAATTTTTATTATAAAAATACGGAGTAACTATTTAACAAACTAATTAAAGCTCAATGAAATGGTACACATTCAGAAGGTATAAGGATAGTTAAGCATCCGAAATTACCAACCGGCGGCCCGAGCCCGTGCCCGCTACTACCCACGGTCCGGGTCAAAGACCGTTATCGGGCCCGAAGCACCGGACCGGGCCGGTCCTGCACAGTGGCGGGCCGGTTCCCGGCTCGGGTGGCCCGAACCGAGACCATGACTAACCGGCGCACGTAGCCCATTGGTTGGGAACCCCAAATTGCTATTTGTTGACATTTCCCGAGTTTGGAGCGGGTCGGGTCCGTCCCGGGTCTTGGCGGGTCGCCGGTTAAATCCGATTTTCATCACATTTGCGGTTCGATGCCCAACCGGACCAGATCCGTGACCGGGTGGGCGGGTTCCAGGTCGGACCGGCCATATGTAATATTGATATCATTTGAAAGATCATAAAAAATAAAAAAAATTGATATATTTTTTAAAAAAATTGGATCAAAATTGAAAATTTTAAAACAACTACAAAGTAATATGAGGGTGTTCACTAAGTTTCCCGTTAAATACGGAACATCATGTATCCGATATCGTGTGGTAACGGCATTTCTTCCTAAACTTTTGCTCTGCTAAATATCATGTATCCGTATTTAATCATGTATCATGCATGTATCATGTATCATGTATCGTAGATAGTAAGTTTTAGTCATACAACACATACATTATGTTTTTTGGTCATATAATGAGAAAACCTCTCTCTTCTAGTCATAGGGCCGTATTTTTCCCCTATTTCTATGCCGGCCCAATTCACTGTTTTTTATTCTGTTAATTCCTTACCTGATATTGTTAGGAAGGCTTATTACTTGGACTTCTTTGGTATTCCTCCTTCCAGGTTTAATGCCTAATTTATCTTTTGGAGGTATGCCTCTGGGAGAGGTATTGGTCTAGTCCCCTTCTCCATTTATATTTGTTAGGTTAATGACCCAATTAGAGGGTCGGCCCATTTAACCCTTACGGGGATGAACGTCTAGGAGGCCCAACAAGGGAATCAGGTGTAGACAGACGTCTCTATGGATGGACAACAAGTACCCGTCAGGGCCCAAGGGCAGGAGACGCACGTCTCCACCATGGGCCCCCGGCTCAAGGACTTTTGACCCAAGGGTAGCCAGCATAATCTTACACCATCAATCGGGAGACGTACGGCCTCACACCCTTGGAGGCATCCTCAATGGCAGGACCACGGCCCGCGGGGACGTCCGTCGCCAACTGGGCGGGAAATCAAGATTATGCGCGGGAAGCACATTTAATGCTCGAGATTTGGTGGTTGGGACCTTAGCCATCCCCAATTCTTCACGTCAGCATATTCAACTGCCCCTTGGTAGTATAAATAGTAGTATTTATTTCATTGTAAAGGGTTGACAACTTACCCGCCTTAGCATCCTTATAGCTTTTAGCATTGTTCGGAACTCTTCTACTTGAGTGTGAGACGAATGGTCGCTGGCCAATAGCATTAGTGCAGTGTAACGAGGCTTTATTATCACTTAATACTCGACCCGTTATTGCATACATCTTTGAGCCCATCTTACTTGCTATTATCTATTGTTCATACCCACCATCCATTCGAGATCCATAGGCTTACGTGTTGGGCTTACGGGTTGAAGGAATAAACCTCAACAATACTCTTTTCAATTTTCTTTATATTATCCGACAAATGTTCTCCTACATTTGCATTTTGATGTTTGGCCTAGTAAAACAAGAAAAAAAATAATAGAAAAATGCTTGATGTACACATTTTTGTGTACATTTTTTGTGCATTCGTCTGTCTCACGCAAACAGAGTTGTCTGTTTACAGACAATTCTATAGAGTTATCTCTGGACAAATAATTTTGTGTACGAGAGACGAATGTACAAAATGTGTACACCTAGCTCAACTCAAAATATTAGGGCCTGTTTACTAACAGAGACAATTTCCTGTTTTCATTTTCTGTTTTCAAGTCTCCGGTTTTCTGTTTTCGTTTTTCAGTTTTTTGTTTTCCTAATCAGAAAACATGTTTACCAGAGTTTTTAAATTTTCCATTTCGTTTTTCAATTTTCAATTGTCTTGGATAATAAATCTATCTGTTTAATGACAATCTAACATAAATAGTTTCTGCCCTGCAATCTTCATTTGGAAAGATTATCTTATACTCCATAACTAATATGGCCTGAAAATATATTTTCCTCCAAAGTGTGTTTTTGGATGTAGCTAACAGACAGGTTAAATACACCATTTTTTATCACATCACTACATGAGCGCATCAGAATAAGAATAGAAACTAAGACCTTGTTTAGTAGGGTGAATTTGACCAGAAATTGCTTTAACTTGCTGAAATGGTTGGTAAAAAATCTTATAAGTCAATAAAGTAGCTACAAAAACCACCAAGTCAAAGCAGGAGCATACATATCACCATTGGAGCTTCAAAGTTAAAAAAACACAGAATTTCCGATTCTTGTCAAAAATCAGTTTTATATAATGGTTCATAAACATAAAACTGTGTAAAAAAGAGAACTATAATCAATTACTTGGAAACATTTTCAGTAGGGAGTCAAACCAGCACATGTAAACAGTTTTATATACTGGTTCAGAAGAGATACAAATCCTATGTAACCGTGCAATGATTCATTAACACCTATTAGGAATGCCAACAATTAAAAAAATAAATAAAAGCTCAATTGGCCTTGAAAATGCTAGGAAAGTCAGATGGATAATGACTTCAATATAAGAAGGCTCCACACTTTTCTTTCTTCTCAAAGCATTGAAGCAGAGAAAGCTCTCACAAAAAACAAGTATGGGCTGAACATTGCAAGGATCATAGCGGTAAAGTCCCATCACAGCTTTTGCCCAACAGTTTTGGGAGATTTATTAATGGGTGAGTGGCTATAGAAATCAATACAGATATGAGTGAAGCATATAGAAAAGGGGTTGATAACCATTCGAACAGATATGAGTGAAGCACAGATAATCCAACACCCATTGATTTCCCAAGGGAATAAGTGCAGACTAAGGCAGATTTTGATAAACAATGAAATAAAACGTAAGAATGAAATTCACAACTAGATTAGGCAGAGTGAAAATTCATGAATTTCAGGATTCCAATGGTATTGAGATTTTCAACAAGGCAAAGTCAAAATTCAATTTTATTTGAGAGCTTACCTTTAACTCGTTGACAAAACACGAGCCACCTGAAGAATTGGAGTTCCCGTGGCGTCGGGGTCAGCTTCTATAGCAGTGATGAATATTTTGTGAAACTGGAGCCTGGTTGACATTTGAAGAAGTTTATCCATGGTCTTCAGGACAAAGCTAGGAGATGTAGACTGTTTGGAGAAGTCGTGCAATATTTGACGACAACGACTATAATAGCTACGGAATGGAAGAAGTAAAGAGGGTAGGTGGGACGAAGGTAGGGCGCCTGAGGGAGAGTTGAAGCTTGCAAGTAAAGAAGGTTGCGGGAGGAGGGCGAGCGAGTAAAGAAGGCAGGCAGAAGGCGAGCGAGTAAAGAGGATCATTGTAGCATCATGTTTTCTAAATCCTGAAAACACCTAAAAGTCACTTTTCCATTTTAGAAGGAAAAGGCGAAACATGTTTCATACTTTTCATTTTGGAAAATAGTTAGGTAAACATGTTTTCTAATTTTTCTATCTCTGATTTTCTATTTTTTTCAAAAAACAGAAAATACTTCTCTCTCGGGAGTTTTTTCTCGAAATAATGCTAATTAAATAAATAATTTCCAAAATACTGCCGGGTTAACCGTGGTGGCGGCTCTTCTCTTACAACACATTTTGTACATATATAAAATGCAGTACGTTTCAACAATTTTTTTAACTATCTTCCCGATTGAATTTTGAACTGAAATTTGGTATGAATAAACTAGACTTGATGATGAACATGTTAAAAAAAATCATTAAAAAAATTCAGCGGGAAAACCCTCTGATGGTGTTGTCCGCACAGGGGTTCCGGTTAGGACGTCGTGACAGGAATGAGACATTTTTATTAAATTTGAGTTGCTTCTGAGTCGATTTTTTTGATAAAATTTGGTGATCGTGTTCTTCCTAAGGTGTAGGTTATGCTCACCGAACTTCAGATTAAAATTAAATCAAGAAGTTACTTAAATAATTTATTGAAAAAAAATGCATTTTTAGACCTAAAAAATTATACGATTTTTAAAAATTTGTTTAACTAACTTCCCGATTGAATTTTAATCTAAAATTTGGTGGACATAATCTACATTCCATAGGAACATGCTCACCAAATTTCATAAAAAAAAATCGACCCGGAAATAGCTCAAATGAAATAGGCCTAAATGTAACACCGTCCCCAAATGTATTTACTTGTAAGTGAATAATGTATTGAACCTTGTATAATGGTTAATGAGAATACGAAGTTGTGAATTTTTATTAATTATTTTGTGTGAATAGTAAATTCGCACGTGGGGCCCACACCGGGAGCGGGGGCCGCCCGATATTCCCGAGACCGTATATTTTATTCATCTTGGTCAATATAATATTTATATAGTGGTGGATAATTTATTGGTCCAAAGAGATGATATAGAGTTGACCGGTTGATCAAAAAGGCCAAAATACCGTTACTGGTAATTTAACGGATAAAATCCCGAAATGAATTTCGGAGACTATAAATTAAGTTTGGGAAATTTATATTCATTATAAGGGTCATAATGATTAAGAAACACATAATATATTTTATTTGACCCGATAAAGTAAAATACAGTTAAAACAGTCCGAAAAATACAACTTTCGGGACCGATTGTACACATTGGGACACAAGGGGATGACCTCCCACATGAGTGGGGGCCACCCCACGTTTTTTTGTGCTAGAATGGACAAGGGGGAGCTGGGTTGACAAGAGGATGAGTGGAGGAGGTGCAAAGGGGCCCTTTGACCTCACTCATTGGCCATTTGAGACAAAACCAAGTCTCACAACCCATCCCCCTACCATATTTCGGCCATCACAAGGAAAAGAGAGAGAGAGGGGAAGCTTTTCAACTCCATACTTCATAGCTAATTCGAGCCCAAGCAAGGAAGTTCCAAGGAGGAAGATTAAAGGGAGAAAAAGGCTAGGAAAAGTGAGAAAGATTAAGGTAATGACCTTGTATTAACTTTTCCTTTATTTTTCCCCTACCCTATGAGATACATATCTTATGGAGAACCCTTGAGGTTGTTCTACATGCCAATAGTGTGGAATAATGGGTTGGGGAGTAGTTCTAAGTCCAAGAACGGACTTAGAAGCCAAACCGACCGGTTCACCGGAAAATAACCTTTTAAGGGTTATGTGTATTGATTAAGGTTTTATGATGTTAAAACCTTGTTAGGAACTTGATTTAGAGTATCTTTGAGCTTCGCCGGAGTTTCGCCGGAGTTGGTCAAAGTTGGCCGGAGTTGGTCAAAGTTCACCGGAATTAGTCAAAGTTCAACCGCGGAGCGTAGAACACGCTTAAGCTCACTTAAGGTGAGGATGACCGACTATATTGCTTATAATCTTTGGGTTAATTTCATAAGATTACCTAAATGAATTATATGTGTTTGGCATGATTTATTTATAATAAAAATGCCTAAATGAGATTATTATTGTTTATAAGCAAAAATGCATAACATACAAATTTATAAACAAATTGTGTATGATTATGTGTTATGAATACAATGGTATAATAGTGTGTAAACTATAAACTAAATTGTGGTAAATATACTTTTACCTCATGTAAGGAAGTCATGGAAGGATAAAAGTGATATTTTGATATTAGAGCCAAGTATACTTGAATGTGGAATTAAATTGAAATATTCAAATTATTATGAATTTGCATTGGTTTATTAAGATTAAATGACTAGTATAGGAATACTAGTCGGGAATGTTAGTTCAACAGTTTTTGGGAGCTAATCCCAAGATTTTGGAGTTGAGTAACCTTAAAGGATATGTTTAAGGTGGACCTTATGAACTCAAGTTACTTTTGGAGTAGGCCTTAAGGGTTACTCGAATGGATGGAACCTAGACTAAGAAGTGGTTTAGGAATTAGTGACGTGACTATGAGCCGAGCTCTAGCACGTGGTAGTATGACTATGAGCCGAGCTCTAGCAAACGTAGGGTGACTATGAGCCGAGCTCTAGCACAAATTAGTATGACTACGAGCCGAGCTCTAGCAAACGTAGGGTGACTATGAGCCGAGCTCTAGCACAAATTAGTATGACTATGAGCCGAGCTCTAGCAAATGTAGTGTGACTACGAGCCGAGCTCTAGCACAATTTAGCATGACTATGAGCCGAGCTCTAGCATGAAAGAACGTGAGTTAATTATAAATGAATAACATCTTAGATTGAGGGTCTTGGAAATTGAAACTTTGATTATACTTAGTATAGTTGTCATTGTACTTGTCAAATGCTTCCAAGTACTGACCTCCCCTTCACGGGGGAGGCCACCTCACAGTTTCAGGTAGGGAGTAGAGCTTGCTACTACCGCTCGTTGCTTCGGGGAATTCAAGGAGGAAGGCGGGGTTCGTGCTTCTCCTGTTTCTGTTTTGAAAACAATTTAAATAATGCTCATGGATATTATTTCGAATATTTATTTGGGGGCTTGTATGCCCGTGGTTGCCACGTGTGGCATGAATACTCGTATTGAATGTTTCCGCTGCTATGAATGAATATTTTACATTATGATTGTTTATGGATGTACTATTTGTGAATGATATTCCAGACGCCTTGTATAGTATGGATGTGTTGGACTGCGGTTGACTATTCGTACTGTACGGCGGATTGTTGACGTGTCCGGTTAGGTCCGGGGCGTGACACTAAAATTGCAACTTTTAGGCCTACATTACATGAACATTTTCAGAAGGCACATGACAAATTTTTTGCCACGAAAATTTTAGAAATTATGCAACTAGATCGTTTGCTATATTATTTCCCGGAAACAATGTTTTATAATTTCTTATTGTTTCATATTTGTTAATAATTTATCCATAAGTCATCATGTTTTAGCTGCATGTGTTATATATGATATGCAATTCCATTTTTACATTACTTTGAGCATTTCTATCTATAGTTTGTATGTTGTAGGATTACACATGCTTCTCTAGATTACAGAATTTGAATCTACCATTGTCTTCCAGACACGATCTCAAGTGAATCAGGCGAAACTGTTATTATGCAATTGGAATTTAGAGCAATAGTACCAGTTGCTAAAGTTGATATGAGTGTTGAAACTATTTCCAATGGTCATAAACTGCCCAAAGAGAGTTCATATTTATTTAGTAAGTGGAAGAGAAAGAATTGTTTGTATGGACATAATGATGACAGTGATAGCTCGAATTTGCAGTTGGTTCCTTTCAATCGGGAAGTTAGTTAAATAAATTTTTGAAAATTGCACAATCTTTTAGGCCTAAAAATGCAGGTTTTTTCAATAAATAATTTAACTAACTTCTTGATTTAATTTTTATCTGAAATTCGGTGAACATAACATACACTTTAGGAAGAACATGATCACCAAATGTCATAAAAAAATTCAACTCAGAACCACCTCAAATTTCATAAAAATGTTATATTCCTGTCACGACGTCCTGACCGGAACCCCCATGCGGACAACACTATCAGAGGGTCTTCTCGGTGAATTTTTTTGATGATTTTTTTTAACATGTTCATCATCAAGTCTAGTTTATTCATACTAAATTTCAGTTCAAAATTCAATCGGGAAGATAGTTAAAAAAATGTTGAAACATACTGTGTTTTATATATGTACAAAATGTGCTATAAGAGTAGAGCCGTCACTTATAATTTTTTCAAAACTCAGCCGTATGTTGGAAATTATTTATTTAATTAGCCAAAAAACTTCTCTCTCTCCAAGGGACAATTTTTTAAAATGCCCTAAAAAGGTTTAATATTTATCAAACTACCCGGCCAACGTTCGTTATTATCATACTACCGCCTCCGTTAAATGAATTGGCCTACTTCCCATTATACCCCGCGTCGGTTTAAATGTTTTGGCGTACTTCCGATTATACCCCGCTTCAGTTAAATAACTGCTTCCTCTTTCCACACGTCACATTATAACGACCACATCCCAACGGCTACTTATTCACAACGGTAACATTTATTTCAGATTGTCATTCCTTTCTCCTTCATCATTCCACGTTTATTTCAGATTCTCAGTTGTCTTCAACCTCTAGCCTCTGCATCATCGACTCAGTCAGTACCAAAAGCTTGGTACAGCGCATTTGGATTTTCGTCATCCATCATCCGGCAAGACAAGATTAGCTACATATACTAAACGGTTGGTTAAAGCTTCATCTCCATTATATTCAGATTCTCTAGCTTTTTTGGTGCGTAGAATCATAAAACTCATGTCATAATTTATATATGTTCAAATATAATACAACCATATGGTCGGATAAGAAATACAAAATGATCAACCACGCTAACCGACAACTTTGGTTGTTCACAACCGTTATTATTTTAGTGGTCGGCTATAATATGGTCTACGTGCGATAACTTTACAAGT